GACTATTCCTGGTTTAGGTATCAGCACCATATTTGTATCATAAAAAGAATTCAGTAAGACTCTTTCTTCACCTATTTGCCCAAATAGTCTATATAGTATTGGAATTAATTGTTCTTTAAATTTTGATAGAATTCACTTGTAAATCCGTCTGGCCCTGGAGATTTTTTCCTAGGGAGTTCATCAATGACTTGTTCAATTTCTTTTACTGATATGGGGTTATTTAAGTATTTTACCTCCTCTTCTGTTAATATGGGCAATTTATATTTTTGTAAATATTCATCCATTTCACTAAGATTGTCAAATTTGTTGGCATACAGTTGGAAAATGCTATCCACATCCAAAGAAAGAACTATGGAGTTTGAATGCAGATTGAAGCATAATATTTGCTGTTTTTTTCTTCTGTTTTATTTTATTTTGTCTTTCTTGTGGTTCCTCCTATTGGTTCTAATTCTTTCTTATAACATCAGTAATGTGAAAATATATTTAATAAGAATGTATATGTATAGCCTATATCAGATTGCTTGCCATCTCGGAGGAGTCAGGGAGGGAAGGGGAGAATAATTTAAAACTAAAAAGCTTATGGAAGTAATTATTGATAAATCAAAAGAAATTAGTATGAAATAATAAAGAAAAAAAGGAATTGTTTTCTTAAGTGAGTTTTTGTAGCTCTTTTTCCATTTGGCCAATTCTACTTCTTAAAGAGTTCTTCTCTTCAGTCAATTTTTATACCTCCTTTTCAATTTGGTCAATTCTACTTTTTAAGGAGTTATTTTCTTCAGTGATTTTTTTTTTCCATTTGGCCAATTACATTTTTTAAGTAGCTGTTTTCTTCAGTCAATTTTTGTTTTATCTTTTCCAAGCTGTTGACTCTCTCTTGTACACCTCTCATTTCTTTTCCCAATTTTTCTTCTACCTCTCTTATTTGACTTGTAAAATCATTCTTGGGCTCTTCCAAGAAGGCTTTTTGGGCTTGAGACCAATTCATATTCCCCTTTCAGGTTTCAGATATATATATATTGACAATGTTCTCCTCTTCTGAGTTTGTGTTTGGGTCTTCCCTGTCACCACAGTAACTCAATGGTCAATGTTCATTTTTGTTTCTTGTTATCTTATTTACCTATTTTCTGGCTTTTAAAGTTGGGCTCTCCTGCTGGAGCACAGGGATCACTGTCCCAGACTTCTTGTGCTGGTGACCAGGGGCCTGGGCACTGTTTGTGTGCTAGGGCCTCGGGTGCTGGCAGCTGGAGGCTATATAGGTCTGGTAGCTTATCTGATGCTGAGCTGGTATCCTAGGGGTGGTATCTGGCACGTGCTGAGGTGAGACAGTGTTCTTCTGTGTTTCCCCAGGGCTACACTGAAGCACCCAGAGGTCTGGCCACTCAAGGATGCCTGACTGTCTAGGGCTGCACTGGAGCATGGAGAGACCCAGTGGCTGGAAGACACATGTCATCCAGGGGCTGTGCTGAAGCATGTGGAGCTCCAGCTGCTGCAGGCTGTCTGCCTGCTTGGGGTCGATCCAGTACACATGGTGGTTCTCAGAGCTGGGGTCTGCTGATTCCTCTGGCTTTGCTAAGGCATGTGGGGTAGGAAGTGAATCCTGGTGTTGGTGCTTGCCTGCTCCATCACCCTGGGGCTCAGGATCTCCCATTGGTTTGCTGATGAGGGTTTTGTTGCTGGCTTGCCAGCAGGCCTCTCATCCTTGAGTGCACTACCATTTTACTGGAGTGAGATATACTTTTCTTGATGATCCTCCAAGTTTCCTGGGCTAAAAGACTGCTCCATCCCATCTTTCCACTGGCGCAACTGTTCCAGGATTTTCCTGGCGTGCTACTTTCTGGGTTTTTCAGAGGTCAATAAGGGAGGGTGAGAGAGATTTACTGCTTACTCCACCATCTTGGCTCCCATGTCTTAAAACTATATTCATAATACTGTATACAATGTTCTCTTCGTTCTGATTATTTTGTTCTTCCTTGTGTCCTGTAAGTCTTTCCATGTTTTTCTAATAATAAGGCCCCTTTTTCCTGTTACAGCAAATTTCTATAATCAGCTCAAGTAGTGAGTAAAAGATATGAGCACAATGCAAGTGTGTAAGATCTCACTGTTTTCAGTCTAAATGTGTGGTCATTTAACTTGTGGAGTGGAAGTCAGAAACCTCTTCTATTTTAAGGAATAGAAATTTAACATCACCAGTCTTCTTAGTGAAAAGTACTGTTTGTATATCTATTCAGTTTGTATATGGTTAACAGCTGAACGTGTTCTATTCAGTTGATGAACACTGTTTTCTATATACAATTGGGAATTAATTACTTAAGTATCCTCCCAAGTCTTTTATGATAATTGGAGTAAAGTCAGCCTCTTACAAGTAAATTCATTTGTGAAACCATTGAACCTAGGGATGGAAAGCTTCTATCTGCGAGAGTATTGTTATTTGTTTTCATGAACAGGTTTGTATCCTCAGTAGCATATGATCCTCCTAAAGGAGTTAGAATAAGAGTGGAAATTTTTGAGAAAGTAAAAAGATCAGACAATCCTGTATGTCAAATGTAAATGATTCTAATGGGACATTAGAATGCCTTATCCACATCTCTCTACCCATCTGCTCTACCCAACTGCATTTACTCTTTCTCACTCAGCCCACCCTGATTGTAATAGCATGTAATGAACTGCTCTATTTCTACCCTTTTAGTCCTCATCCAGCACATAAAAACCAAGATGGCTAGAACAGCTCTTTAGGCTCAGGGACTATGCAGATCATTATTTCTATTTGATCCCTAGCATTATGCTGAAGGAAGGGATCCTTGCCCCCTTCCCCAGGTTTAGGGATGAAGAAAAAGAAAGAACCAGTGTGAGCTGAGTGAAAAAGGAAGAGTGAGGCTAAGGACAGAAGCCAGACTCACCTCTTTACCCATACTGAGCTAAGGGGAGCTAAGCTGAGGGACAATGAATTCCTGTGAATGCTGACCTGTGTGCAGTGTCTCTTTTAATATCATCACATAAATTTTCTCTTAGATGTTATCTGGGCTGGGAGCCAGCCATGGTATGAGAAACAAATTTCTTCTCCACCATTTCACTTCTTTCTCCTCTATCCACTCCCCATGACCACTTCCCTTCCCCTAGGCAAGGCATGAGCCTCAAAAGGGGAGATCCCCTAGAACAGAACCCAGTTCTATCCAGTTCCCACTCTGTCTTCTGAAATCTGCTCCACATCTCCTTTGGTGTGATTATGATGTGACCCAGAACACTCCCACCTAATACACAAACCCACACACACTTCTTCCAAGGCTTATGTCCTGTGATTGCTACTCTCCATTCTTGTATCTGTCTGTTCAGATGTCTTTTTCTGTATCCCTACCCCTTAGCAGGGTGCCTGGCACATACTAGATGCTTAACAAATTCTTAATGATTTTACTTAACTAGACTTCTCCTCCAAATATAACTGTCTTTCCATTATAATATCATGCTTTCCAAACTTAGAGCACATTTCACAAAAGAATAAATAGACTATTCATATATTAAGTAAAGACTCTTTCCTTTATTTTGGCCTGGAACTATGATTTTATCTGTTTAGGGAATGACTGATATGGAAACTCCCTCTGCTAATACAATTACCTTGGAGAGTAGCCTGAGAGCTGGTGTGTGTGTCAGAGGCAGGACTTTATGACCCAAGGCAGGCCACCTAGCCTCTACATCATGCTTCCTCTTAGATCCTTTATCACTGCATATTAATGTCTTACACTTAGAGGCAGGACTCTAACACCAGCCTACTAACCCTCTCAGTTTCAGGTTCACTGTTGGGACAAAATATCCCAAGTCATGCACATTTAAAACTACACATTTAAAAACATTTGCCCTAACACAGTAAGGATATGCAATAAGGACGTGGTGGCACCTGACTCCTCTGGAAATGCATCTGGTCAGTCAGTTGCCAGGATATGGTGACTCACAGGCTGTCAGGTACCCACCAACTCTGAGAGATGCTGACTACACATGGCTAGGGCCTTTTGTGCCCCAAGACCAGAAAGCTGAATCAGGGAAGCTGGGTCAATCAGAGCTTGATCAGGAATTTGGAGATGCTGCCTCAGGAGATTGCTAATCCTATCACACTTACAAAGGACAGACCTGAGACCTAAAATGAAACATGAATGGGCCAGAGCATGGGCAAGCAGGTGCATCAAGAGATGGATAAAATCAGAGCTGTCACTGTGAGATAAGGTGTTCTGATCATAGGGTCACCATAGAAGGAAGCAAAGTGGGAGACTGGGTCAGTAATGATTCTTAGGAGAGGCATACCCAGCTCCACTGATTTCTCCCCCTCCCTCTAAGACAGTGAGTCACAGCTATATTCATAGGAGGGTAGTTCCCTGAATAGTCAAAGGTCATGAGGTTTATGAGACTATTTTCCCCCAGGTGACTGTGATGGGTTTCCCTTCTCTGATTTCACAGGTAGAGATGCTAGGTATAACCCAGAAGTACCAACAGCAGGTGCTGGGACACTAACCCCTCTCTGTCCTGTACTAAGCATGTGGTTACATTGGTTTCAGCTCTGTGCAGCCTGGCCTCTGGTAAGAGGAGGTTCCCTTTTTTCATATGCATTGGCCGGCTAACAAATCTCTACCCTGAAGGACAAAGAAAATGAGATTATTTCTTACAAGTCTCAGTTTCTTCCAAAAGGAGAAAGCAAAAAAGATATTCAAAGTACCATATCAATCAACAATGGGACAAGTAGTTTATTCCTACTCACAAAAAAGAATGCTAAGAATACACAAATCATAACACACTTTAGCAATGTCTTCAGAACAGGTTTCAGTACCTAATCCTTATATACATAATAGCCTGGGAGGATAATATTTAAACTGTATCAAAACATAAGGCAGTTTTTGTTTTTGTTGTTCAGTCATTTCAATTGTGTTCAACACTTGTGACCCCATTTGGGGTTTTGTTGGCAGACATACTGGAGTATTCCTTTCTCCACCTCATTTTTCGGATAAGAAACTGAGGAAAACAGGGTCAAGTGACTTGCTCAGGGACACACAGTTAGTAAGTGTCTGAGGCCAGATTTCAACTCATAAAGATGAATCTCCCTAAGGTCAGAGTTGGTCATCTATCCGTGGTGCCATCTAGCTGTCCCATAAGGCAGTTTGGAATATATTATACGGGCACTTCACATTTCGTCTCTGCCATTGTCAGATCAAATGCTAAGCTTGGGTTGGGCATCTTTCTGGTGGCATCTTCTCTGATGCAGAAGGTCCCTTTTGACATCCAATTGCTCACTGGAACTCAGGAATTTCAGACCTTTCAAATCACAAGGTCCCAGCCAGTCTCTTGACAAATCCAGCAGGGGGAAACTTATTTGGCAAAGTCAGGACAGAATAAACACACAAGAGTCAGAAGTGGCCAGGCAATCACATATACATGGCAACTGGGTAGAAAACAGGGCAATCATCCCTTCTCCAACCTGATTCTCCTATTGCAGCATTAAAGAGACCTCAAACTTCAAGGCTAGAATGGAAGGAAGAGTCAAGGAGCTTAGTAGCTTGCTTTTTGTACATTTGATGAGGCATCATTTGTTCTGGCTCAGCAGTCATCTACCATTGTAAATCCTTCACCAATCAATCATCCATGGTTGGATGCAGCACTGCCCCAGGCTTCCATGAAGTCACCTAGAAACAAGAATAATTACTGAACATGATGCCTGGTGGGGGGTAAAGACAAAGAGCCCCCCGTCCCATCAGTGTTGACTAATGAGAGGAAAGTGACTAAACTGAATAGGCAGCACAAGCATGGGGTATAAAAGTTGTCAGGGGTAGTCAGGAAGGGGGAGCGCTAGGGAGGAGGAGGGAACATGACAGCTGTTCACAGTGCAATATCATCCTCAATTCCTAAGTATCTCTCACCTCACATAGCCTATGTGTTAGTGGCTGGTGATTAAGACATCTGTAGATTTTAGCTAGGACTTGACAGAAGCCAGGGAAGGCTAAGGGAAGAAGAGAGAGAATTTCAGGCATGGAGGACATTCAGTGGACATGACCCGTGTCAGGAGATGGAGTGAAGAGTGCAAGGAACAGCCAGGAAGCTAGTATCACAAGATTGCAGAGGATGTGGAGGGAAGTAAGAGAAAAGAGGGTATTAAGCAAAAGAAAGTGGCAGCTAGGTCCTGCAGTGGATAGAGTACTGGATTTGGAATCAAAAGGACTCATCTTCATGAGTTCAAATCTGACCTCAGACACTTACTAGCAGTCACTTACAGCTGGACAAGTCACTTAACCCTGTTTGCCTCAGTTTCCTCATCTGTAAAAAGACCTGGAGAAGGAAATGGCAAACCATTCTAGTGTCTTTGTCAAGAAAACTCCAAAATAAGGTCACAAAGAGTTGGAAACAACTGACCAACAACAATAGGCAAAAGAAAAACCATCAACAGTATCAAAGGCTGCAGAGATCAAGAAAGATGAAGTCTGATAAAAGGCAATGAGCTTTGACAATTAGAAGATTGCTGGTAATTTTGAAGAAAGGAGTTTCATTTGAACAAAGACGTGAGAAGACAGGCTGTAGAGAGTTAAGAAGAGTGAGAGGAAAGGAAGTAGGCATCTATTGTAGTTGCCTTCTCAAGGAGTTTAGCCACAAAAAAGAGGGGAGACATAAAAATAGCTAGCAGAGATGGAGGGATCAATTGTTTTTGGAGAATGGAGGAAATATGTTTATGTTCATAGGCCAAAAGGAATCAGCAAGCAGATATGGAGAGATTGAAGATAGGTGAGAGAGTAGGGGTGATAAAGGGGGAAATGTGGGGGAGGAGACAGAATGGAATGAGACCACTTGTACATGTAGGGGTTTGCCTTGGCAAGAAGATCCACTTCGTTGTGTAAGACAGGGGTGAAAGAGGAAATAGTGGCATCTGAATGATGTAACATGAAGAAGAAGGGAGAAGAGAGATCTCTTAGAAATTTTGTAAAAAAAAAAAAAGATGTGTCTCAAATTTTTAGTTAAATATTAGGCTAGGTTCTCAGCTAAGAGGGTGGGGATAGGGTTAGCTATGGGAGGCTTGTGGAGGGATGAAAAGGTTTTGGAAGAGCCACTGTGGTGAATGAGATAGTAAAATAATTGGGAAATTTAAAAGGATTGCCTCGCAGCAGTGAAAGTCCAAGTAGAGACAGTGTAACATGAATTTATAGTGGACCCAGTCAGCATGGATTTGTGATTTTCTCCAGCTTCTGTCCACTGTAGGTATGTAGGAGCAAAGGCACCAGATGGTGGGAGTGATCCAAAACTGAGGCTTTACAAGGCAAATTAGGCAGTAAGGTAATGGGGCAAGGGACTCAAGAGAAGAGGAAAGTGGAGAGTTGGACTGGTTTTCCAAGGGGTCAGAATAGGGAGGGAAAGAGTAGCTAGTGTAGGGGGGATGACCTGGTAAAGAACTGAAGCATTGATGAATGGTGGTGATGGGGAGAATGAAGAACAGAGTTTCAGGTTGCAAGGAAGAAGATCTAATATAAAATCCTCTATTTGGCATTCAAAGCCCTTTATAAACTGCCACTCCCTTTCCAGGCTTGTTAAAACGTGTACCCTTCACCGCATGTCCACTGTGATCCAGTGATATTGACTGTGCTGTTCCTTGAAAAAGACACTCCATATCCCAACTCCAGGGTTTTTCACTGGCTGTCGTTCATGTTTGGAATTGTCTCTTCTCAACTTAGCTACCCAGCTTCCCTGGCTTCCTTCAAGTGCCACCTAAAATCACACCTCTCATGAAAACATGTTCTTTCTGCCCCTGAAATCTAGACTTTCCTGTGCTAATTATCTCCAATTCATCCTGTATATCACTTGTTTGTACATAATGGATTGCATGTTGCCTCCCACCCTTAGACTGAGAGCAAGAACTGTCTTTTGCCATTCTTTTTAACCCCAGGGCTTAGCAGAGTTCCTGGTACATAGTAGGTGACTGAGAGGGTTGGAACTGACTGTCAAGGGCTTTAAGCAAATCAAGAACTGGGGAGCCTGGCAGGGTAAGGTGGTCCTCAGTCACTAGTTGAGAAAGAGTAGACAAAGGGGTTTCCCCTCCCATACAACTCCACCCCTAACTCCCACTACAGCTTAGAGACCTGGACTTGGCATATGCCTCCTTGATCTCACTCAGGAATGTGAGAAGTAAAAAGCTATTAAATTTCCATATAAGGAAATTGAGAGAAAAGTAGCTCTAGGTCAGAGCTTTAAGAACCAGCTAAAATTGAGTGAAACTGGTTGTTTGATTAGACAGGCTGGAGGGAGGACAAAGGTTAAGTTTTACTTAGAGTACACATGCTTCAAACTTACCTACGGAAAAACCTGGTGGGCATTTCAGGAAGTCTGTGACCTGTGCTGACTTCCACCTATGAAAAATCAGCTAGGAGGGACTCGAGGTCAGGAATAGGGTTATAAGGATTGCTCTCCCTTTGGTAGTGTGTGTGTGTTCATCTCGAGTTCCACACCCACTTCCTGCAGGAAGTATATTAAAGGTTTCACTACTTCACTCATCCTGAGTCTAACTTACTGTTCCTACTTGGGCACCAGAGGTTATTTCCAACAGGAACAAGAGAGGGAAACAAACTTGTATACTTGATCAGATTAATTTACCTCAGTGATTAGGCATCTGTTTGAGAAGAATATGCATAGAGAAAAGGAGAGGAATGAGGAAAGAGAAGGGGAAAGAGAGAAGTGTATAGAGGGAAAACAGAAAAGGGAGATACCAGAAGGAAGCAGAGAAAGAGAGAAGAGGGAGATGGCAGGGAGGAGAGGGAAAAAAGGGCCTAAGGAAAATGGGAGAAAAGAAGAGTGGGAAGAAGAGGAGAGTGACCTCTCTTTGACCTCCCTCTACTGTCCTTTTCCCAGCCCAGTCTTCCTCAACCTTTCCCAAGACCCCAAGCCTCCCACTGACCTTGTGTTGATTCTTTCTTTCCTTTTCATCCTATTTAACTCCTCCACCAATCTAGCCCCACCCCCAACTAGCACAAGTCCCCTAGGTTCAACTTGGTCTCTTTTCAGCTGCCTGTGGGGATATTCACCTGTAATTAAGTCAAATGCAGGCCCCACCTGAAATTACCTTATTGTCAGCTCTGGAGACCTCTGGGGTAGCAACCTTCTTAATAAGTATACTGACACAATCCTTAATATTAGAAGCACAGCAAGTATCACCATAACTTGACTGCCATAAGAAAATAATCTTTCCTCATGAAGATACCCTGTAAGCCAAAAGGGAACCATGAGCTGATGTTTAGGGGAAACTGAACTGGGACCATCTGTTTCTGGCTCTTTGCCCTCTGAACCTTCTCCAACCCCCTCCCTGGGCTCTAGTTGTGTCTTATGTACCACATCCTATTTGAATTAATCCTGACTTAGAAGGGTCTTAGTCCTCCATACTTTAGGCAAGTATATAGAAGGGGGAGGCGGCATCAAGCGCATGGGACTATACAGGGACTAGGTCACACTTGGGAATCAAGGCTGTGTGAAGACCAGGAAATTTGAATCAGTTTTCCAAAGACAGCAGTAAAAAATTCAAGGTCAGGAATCCCTAGGAAGGATGCCAACATATGGACTGGTGGACACAAGCGGGCCAGAACTCTGCAGAGACTGGAACCCAGAGTTCAGGGCAGTACATGGGCTGAGGTATTATACAGCTCTGAAATATTCAGAGTTAGGGGTGGAGGGGAAAGTACAGACCAAGGCTACACTGAGCTAGAAGGGGTCAGAACTGCAGAAAGACTAGTGGACCCTCAGGGTCTGGGCTACTTAGGGACTGCCCAACTGGAGCTTTAGTAACATCTCATGATTCCATCACATTGCTACCTTACTTACCCCCTTCTTACCTTGACATCTATGCCACAACCACAGGTAACAAAGGATCATTTCAACCTCAAATGCCGAAGTCACAGCCAGGAGCCCATTGATCTCACATAGCCAGGAAACTGACCTGAAAAAACATCCTGAAAGAAGCCCCTAGATCAAGCATTCTGGGAAGATGGTAGAGTAGATCAAAAATTTCCAGGCTTTCCAAATTTCCTCCACAAACCGACAGAGCATCACCACAAAATGAACACAGAGTAGCAAAAGTAAAAGGGTAAAGCAATTGTCTTCCTGAGACAACTTGAGAGTACCTCAGGAAAGGCAGGACCTCCAGAGGCTTCAGCCTGAGTGAAGTGGAGATACCTCCAGGCCAACTCCTGAATCAACAAACAGCAGGCCCTAGAGACAACTCCTTTGGGAAGCAGACTGGGCCTCAAGAAATTTCACCTCACAAACTTTCATCTAACAAAAGCTTGGAGATCAGATGGCTGAGTCAGGGAAGACTGAAAGACACCTGCTGTTTCTGGACACAAGGCCTAGTGGCGCTGACCAGACATGGTCCCAGGCTGCTACTATGGGCAAGGAGGAACAAGCACATGCCAGTAAGTGAGGTAGCTCAGGAAGCAAGAACATTTTTGGGATGTGACTGGAAGCCCTACCTGTGGCTTAGGGGAGGAGAAGTGTGCCTGAGGTTAAACCCCTGGACAGAATTCAGAAAATAACAGTAAGGAAGACCTCAGGCCTGGGGCACCATTACCTACAAGTCAGAATCAAAACCTGATTATGATAATAAGCTGCTGAAAATAAAATAAAACAAAATAAAAATGAATAAGCAAAGGAAAAAGTGTTCCACCATAGATAGGTACTATGGTGTAAAACAAGATCTGGGTTCATATTCTGAGGAATATAGTTACGTTAAAAAAAGCCATTCCTATCCCAAAGAGTTGCATGAAATGGTCACAAGCCCAAAAAGAGTATTTAGAAGAACTGAAAAAGAACACTTTAAAAATCAAATGAGAGAGATTAGGGAAAATTAGAAAAAAAATTAAAGCAATCCAAGAAAATTATGAAAAAAGTTAAGCAATTGAAAAAAGAGGAAAGCCTTACGGAAGAAAATAACTCCTTGAAAACTAGAATTAGGCAAGGGGAATCAAATGACATTATAAGACACTAAGAAACACTAACACTGGGGAAAAAAGAAGAGAATTTGAAGCATCTCATTAGAAAAACATGATCTGGAGAATAGATTGAGAAGAGATAATATAAGAATTGTAGGACTACCTGAAAGTTATCATCAGAATAAGACTCTTGATACAATGTTACAAGAAATTATTAAGTTCTATTATGAAGTTCTAGAACAAGAGGATAAAGTAGAAATAAGAAAAAAAAATCTACCATTCACCACCTGAGATTTTGAGAGGAAAATTACAAGGATATTATAGTCAAGTTTCAAAACTCCCAGATTAAGGAGAAAACATTGCAGGCAACAAGAAAAAAATAATTTAAATACTGTGGAGATACCATCAGGATTTCACAAGACTAACCACTTCTACACTATAAGACCTTAGCCTCCCCCCAGATCTTTGGAAAAGAAAAAGAAGAGACAAGAGTTGGTATAGGACTGAAGAGGCTTTCATCAGCTGGAAGTCCTGTACAGACTGAAGCCATGAAATAGGACTCAGAGTTGGAAGGAGCCATAGTGACCATCTATTCCACCCTTTCATCTTACAAATGAGAAACTGAGTTTAGGCAAGCTAAGTGATTTCCTTGCCCAATGGCATAGAGGAACTAAGGAGGACATCCTGAATTTGATTTCATCTATGGATTTCAAATCCACACTATTTTCAGTCTATCACATCCTGGCAGATGGCATCCCTGTCTGAAGAGGCTTTCTGCTTCAGGTTGAAGCTGTCTTCCCACTACGTTTGGAAGATCTTTAGAAACCAAAGAGAGATGGAAGTCCAGTGGAGGGCTGGGCTTTAGGAACATTCTGATAACATTCTGGGTATAAGAGGCCATGTAGATGTTACACACTCAGATAGGACTTTTAAAAAAAGATTTTGAAGCACTCCTTATTGTGGGAGGCTTTTGGTTCATCTGTTTGAAATTTGCTCTGAGTGGTACTTACAGACACTGCCACAAAACCAAGATTTGGTTGTATAGTGGATAAAGTGCTGGACTTGCAGTCAAGAAGACCTGACTTCACCCCTGACTTTCCATTGGTGTACTCTTCTGCAAGTCATCTAACTATTATCAGGCTTACTTTCCTCTTCTGAAAAATGGGGACCCTACTTCACAAGGTGGTTGTGAGGATAAAAATACATACCGTACACAAAGTATTTTATAGAGCTATATGGAGTCCACTATTATTATCTAGGCAAATGAATTTTATCATAAGAGTGACCTGGGGGACCCTAGGGCCACTCCATGGGCAACTGAATCATCTACAGGAAATCACATGTGGGGAGAATTTGGGAGGCAGAGGTTAAGATTACAGGTATTGCAACATGGCTTTTTTCTACAGCCAGTTTTCTGATTTACTGATCAGCCTGTTAGGGCACAGAGCAGAGAAGCAGTCACTTGGCAGGGAGCCAGGAACTAAATTCTATTTCTTTCACAACAGTGAAATTAGACAAGTTAGAGCATAGTGTAACGATTCCCCTTCCCCTTATGACTTTGAGGTTGGGAGATCTGAAAGGGTTATTTTTCAAAGATCTCCCCTTTTACTGTGTTAGAGATAGATGAAGCCAGGGAAGGTGTGGAGATTTGGAAATTCATATTTAACATGAGTGGATGTGATTGTTTAGGATTGTTATAACATTTTACTTTCGCTTTTTATGAAGTACTGGCATCTTAGCCTGTAGTCTGATTGGCTGTGCTGAATGGCAAAGGAGATGGGGTTCAAGCAGGTGACAGCTATGTAGCCAAAGAGAATTAGGACTTGTTATTGGAACATTGAAACTCTTAAATAGGAACTCAGGGGTACGGAAAATGCTTGTTTTTTTTTTAATGAGGCAATGGGGTTAGGTAACTTGCTCAAGGTCACACAGCTATTGAATGCTATGTGTCTGAGGACAGATTTGAACTCAGGTCCTCCTGATTCCAAGGCCACAACTCTATCACTGTGCCACCTAGCTGCTCCTAGAAAACTCTTGTAAGGAAAAGCTGAGGACAAGCTGGAATTGGTAAGCAGAAAGTCAGTTTAGTAAGCTTTGATTACCACTTGGTGCTTCAAACAGATATAGCACCCTGAGCTACTGATCCAAACCCACTACCAAAGTTAAGAGATTAAACATGGTCCCAACCGCATCCCAGACTGGATTGCATACATGAAGGTGGATTACTCCATCTCTGCCCACCTTTCCACTGTGCCTTCTAGAATTTCTTTTCCTTAATTAACAAACCTTCCTTCCTTTTAGACCTTTTTCTTCCTTCATGTTAATTGACTAACTCACAAAATGGCTTTGACTATAGATGTCTTTCTCTCTTTCTCCTTCCAGCTCCTAGCACTTACTGAGACCTAGCCTTCCCTAGAGGACACAGCGTTCCTGGGATGTTCTTTTCAATACTGTTGTACCTTTTCTCATACTGCTCAACTTCACTTGTCCTTGGAAGAGAGTCAAAATACTACTCACTTCCATTGCCACTTTCTGCTGCTATAGAACACTCGATAATCCTCTCCTCTTTTGAGTCTCACTCTATCCCAATACACAACACAATTGGTTGGCAGTTACCTACTAGCCAGATCATTCTGCCTCCTTTCTCTAAAAGTTCAGTATTTGGCTCACATTATTCATGTCAACTCCAACTCCTGTCAACTAGGGCATATTGCATATATGCTGATATTCCTTCAAATACTGTAGCATCTCAGTTTCACAATCTTCTCAATTCCCATAACTTAGTCCTCCATGCCAACTCAGCCTCACAAAAGCAGAAACAGGATTAGTTTGACCTTGCCATCATTCACAAATTTCCACTTCCATGATCAAGAATTCTAAAATTCCATGATCAAATCATAACTATCATACCCTCTCTGTCTATACCTCACTCTTCCTCACTCCAAAGATCTTCCTTCTCAGCCTAATCTTAGTCACTACCATGAGTTCCAGTTCTTCTGCCCCTTAAGACTTCCTCAGGCCATCACCCCTACCATAGCTTCACTTGCTTCCCCTCCTAATCTTGACTATTTTTAATTGGTTTAAATTGGTATTTTAATTGGTTTGTTACATTGCATTCTGCTCTTTCATCCCTTTCCCTTGCCTTATGGTTATCACATTTTAACAACCCTCATCTCTAGATTACTTCCACCATCTACGTCTTCTGTTCTTACTCATGTGCTGATGAACAGATCTACAGGAAGTTAAGAAAAACTATTGAATAAGCCCACTAAAAATTTATGCTATTTGCAATGACCAACTATGAATCCAGGCAACCCATGGACAAACATGCTACCCATCTCCTGATGGAGAGATGATGGACTCCCAGGGAGGCAGATTTAGACATCAATTTTTGCATAGAACCAATGCAGGATTCTGTTTTTCTTGACTATACCTTTTTTTTACAAGGGTTTTGTTTTTTTATTCTTTTTCAATGAGGGGAAGGGAAGAGAAGAGAGAAAATGGATATTGTTAATTGAAAAATTAAAATATATTTTCCTAAAAATCAAATTTATGTTATCAAATCTCAGCTATGTCCTCAATACAGTAAGATAATATTATTTTTTTTTACTAATTTGTCATTCTTTCTCTGTCCCATGTCCTACAGTGAATATTTCTCTCAAGGTTCACATATCACCTCTTACCATATCTGAAGACCTTGCCTCATACTTCCTGAGAACCTAACTTCTTGATATCTTCCTCCGTACTCTCCTCCTTTTTTCAGCCTCTGATGAAGACGTAGTCCTTCTCCAAGCCAAGGCCAACCTCTCAGTGTAAATCTTTAAACCCATCCCCTCCCATCCTCTCCAGCAGATGATCTCTTCTCTCTTTCTCTCTGTCTCTCTCTCTCTGTCTCTCTCTCTCTGTCTCTCTCTCTCTCCCTCCTACATCCTATCCTGTCATTTATAAATATGTCCAGATTTTCCTCACCTTTAAAAAATATTTAGAGGTGGAGTAAAGGCAGGGACTCACCTCAGCTCTTC